CTCCCCCCCCCCCCCCAGGAAAGCTGGGTAGAGCATTCCCACTACCTGATGATCAGACCTCAAGGATGAAGGCTTGGAGTGTCAGGAGCCCAGATAATGGCCCTCAAGTGAGGCGCAGTATGTCCGAGGGAAGCTGCTGAGGCCGGGGAAGGATCACTAATTGAGGAACCCACACCACAGGTTGACAGGAATGAGCCTGCGCATCTGCACAGCACTGCAGTGGGCTCTGCTCTGTCCCATCCATGTCCTGTGGCCCAGATCTTCAGCACCAGCAGGGACGGGGCTCCAAGTTCAGTGGGTCCAGAGAACAGGGAGGGCACAGGGACTTGTGAGGGCTCCTCTCTTGGAACTCCCACATTCAGCCTCCTCCAGAACCAGGTAGCAGCCGGGGGGCGGGGGCGGGGGCGGGGAGAGGCCCTGCCCCACCTCACAGCTCTCCCTCCAGAGTCTCGGCCAGCTTCTCCTCATCCGCCTGCTGCCTCTGCTGCTGGATCCGGGCATAGGAGATGGCATCTCCCCTGGGGAGGGAAGACATGGGTGACCCACAGGCACAGACACCACTCCTGGACTGCAACCAGGTGTGACCTGCAGACGGATCCCACTAGGCCTGTGACTTCCCACAGGGGAGGGATACTGCTTGGCACTGACCGCACTCCAGTGAGTCTGTCACCAGTGTGGGATCTGCAGAAAAGAGTAGCAGCAGGCTGCAGTGCCAGTGCGCACCTTGTGGAAAGAAGCCAGGTGCCCAGAGGGGCCACCCCAGGGGTCCCTGAGAGACAGATGAATCATGGCTGCCAATATGCACAACTAGACCAAGGGTCCTGCTCAGACCTTCCCCATCTGGCACAGGGGAAGTGGGGACAGAAGAGGGGGGCATGAGGACAGGAGGAGAGGCACCACCCTGGGGCTAGGGTTGCAGACGCACTTTTTGCCCAGGGCAGACAGTCCATACAGCACCCCCGTGGCAAAGGCGATGGCGTTGCCCAGCAGTGTGGTCAGGGTCAGGCTCATGACGATGGGGATGACGGCCATCCTAGGAGAGAAACAGAGGTCAAGGGCACACTCCTACCCCATGCCACCACCATGCTGTCTTCAAACACCCCTGAGATCCTGTCTTTCCTCAGGACTGAGTCCAAAGCCACATCAGGTCTGTGTGACAGGATCTGATCCACTAAAAAGGATTAAACAGTAAAAAGCTAGGTCAAAACCCCTACTGTTCATAAAAACCAAGAGGCTGGGTTCAGGGGGTCTGGAATGTAGGAGCCCCGAGACCAAGTCAGTCAGCTTCTCAAGGTTCTCTCAACTGTAAAGTGGAGTCAAACCCGAGATTCTGATGCCAGGGTAAGGGCTGCCGGCCACTGATCCCACACCCACAAACGCTGAATGAGCACTCAGCACAGTAATCCTGGGCCAGCTGTGTCTCAACAAGCAGGCTCCCAAATCAAACCGGTGCAACTCAGGCCCAGCAGGGCAGGGCTGTGGAGGCACAGCAGCAAACACCACCTGGTGGGGGTCCACTCCACCTGAATCCATGCCGTTCATTCTTGATCCTGGCTGGATTTTCCAATATCTTGCAAATCCCGGGTGACTGAGCCAGCCCTCAGTCCATCCACTTCCAAAGAGGAGGCTCCCCACGCTGCAGGATGAAACTCAGAGCAACTGCTTCCCCCCCTAGATCTCCATTCTAGATCTTACTTCAGAGTAGAGAGTAGAGGAGCCTTGACTTAGGGTGCCTAAGGCTTCTTCAGGATGGCACGAAAGTCCCAAGTAGTCAGTGGATGGTGTAATCAGAATTCTGAGTCCCAAGCTTTTCCTGGGCTAGCATATACGGTACAGATCATGAGGGCTCTGGGCACAGTGAAAGTCAACAGCAGAGCTGTTTGGTAGGTGAGACGCAATAACTGTATTTCCAACAGAATACTTTTGACCCACTGTTGTTTTATCAGAATGGGGAACCGTTCTAAGTGGAGGAACCTCCATAATAAAATACCAGTATAAACCACAAGGAAAAAGATCACAGGAAAAGCATTAAAGTGTAGAAAATACAGCAAAGGAGCCAGAGCTCTTTAATATAGAAAACACAGCCTGCAAAGGTACGTGTTAGCTTCTCAAAAGATTGGAAAGTAAACCAGAAATCTGTCAGGACAGTGAAGGAGAGCACAGGAAGACATGTGACCTCCCAGACAAATGGAGATGTCAGTGAGGCACTGGGCACCGGGTAGGGACGGAAAAGGGAGACACCCTGGTGGCCTCTTTGGAAAGCAACAGTCACATACGTTAAGATCTTTTTAATGATCATAACCTTTGGCTTGGAAATTCCACACCTGGAAACAGAGATCACCACAAAGTCTAGGCGGACAGATGTTTGCCATAGCTGGATTGACACCAATTAACAAGTTAAGAGGACAGTGTGTCCCTCTGAACATTCCTGTCATTAAAAGTGATGTCATCAGGACTCTGTGATAAAATGGAAAGTGTTGGTGGCACTGTAGTGGGTGGGGCAGCAGGTAAACACACAGTGGTTACAACCTGAAAGGCGAGCTTCAAGAATGTCTGGCCAGGCATGATGGCACACACGTCTTAATGTCAGCACTCCTGAGGCAGAGGCCAGCCTGGTCTACATAGCAAATTCTGGGTCAGCCAGGGTTATGTAATGAGACCCTATCTCAAAAAAAACAAAACAAAAACAACCCAAACCAGAAATGTCTGGAAGGACACACGCCAAAAGGTTAATAGGCAGTGGGGTTTGGAGAGACAAGTTTCTATCTTATAAATGACTTTTGGTGAATATGTTACCATGAGAATCTTGACAATGCATTTTAAAAACCCAAAGGAAGGCCCAGATGCTGGCACATGCCTTCAGCCCCAGAACTGGAGAGGCAAGTGGATCTCTGGGAGTCAAACCAGCCACACAGTGGGATACAAACAAAAGACAACAAAAATACCCAAAACAGAGGGCTAGAGAGATGGCTCAGTGGCTAAGAGTACTACCTGCTCTTAGAGAGGACCCAGGTTCCGTTCCCAGACCCACATGGCAGCTAACAACCATCTAGAATTCCAGTTCCAGGGGATCTGACACCCTCTTCTGACCTCTACTGGCATTGCACAACATAGATGCACTTACATAGAAACAGGCAGTACGCTCCTACACATAAACTGTACACACACACACACACACACACACACACACAATCCCAACACGACAACAGACGAAAGGCGATGGAGATGGCTCGGTGAAGTGTCTGCCTCACAAGCAGACCTGAGATCAGATTCCCACACTCCCAGGAAACCCAGACATGGCAGCACACATCTATAACCCAGGTGTTGGGGGAGTGGGGTGGTGGAGACAGGAATCCTGGTGCTCAGGGGCCTGTCAGTCTAGTCAAATCAGTGAGCTCCAGGTTCAGTGAGGGACTCTGTCTCAAGAAATAAGTGTAGGGTGATTGAGGAAGGTTCCTGATGTCCACATTTGACTTCCATACGCGTGTGCCTGCATTCACACACACACAAACACACACACACACGATGCCATACTGACACTGATTAGAATTTTGTGATCTTGTGATCCCTTGAGATTTAGACACAGCAGGAAACGGACACTGTGTGTTCTGTCAAACCCACTGGGTCTCCACCATGCCTGGCTCTGACCTGATCTTAATGATAAATATGGCGACAATGATAAATATTGAGGCCCTGCAGGCTCCTGTGCAAAAGCCCCACTCTAGAGGCGTTCCGGAAGTGATGCGGTCTTAGACTGCCTTCAAGTACATGACACTTGTCAGAACCAGAAGACGCCGTATCTAGAGGATGAGAGTGTTCCTGCTCTGTGATCTGCCTTCTGCTCTCGGTCTGGACCTCTAGGTTGGCCACACATCTCTGCAAGGCTGCACAGCAATGTGCCGAGCAGACCCACTACGATCCGCCTGGCAGCTCCCAACTAGCGGAGCAAAGCTCCAGCTGCCTCCCTGCTTCCCCAGTGCAGTACTGCGGCAGGGACTAGAGTGCTCCAAACACCTGTGTGGCCGTGGCTGTTGGCTAAGCTCCCAGATGCAGGTGCTGGGTCCCACTGGTTAGCAGGTGTTGGACAGGCCAGTGGCTGTGTCCAAGGCTATCAAACAGAAACTTCTGCAAAGGGAACGTGTGTATCTGTTCCTGCCCTGCCCATCTCACCAACACTGGCCTTTGGGTCCTATTACCAGCATGGGTTTGGGGAACCATGCCATGGCCCCACCCGGCAGCCCCTCACCCGCAGTAGAAGACAGCCTTCTGCCAGGAGCGCAGCCGGTCCACCCTCTCAGCCACTGTGTTCGCAAACTCCACAAACGTACAGCAGAAGGGGGCCTCGCACAGCAATAGGATGAAGGCATTCGTGCTGCGGGGGCAAAGGCAGACAGCACAGCAGTGGGTGACAGCCTGGGGCTGCAGGAAAGCCACCCCTCCCTCATGCCCCCCGGTAAGCACCCCACTGCTCCAGAGCCACCAGTTTTGCCCCCAGTTTCTACTGAGCAGTCGAGCCCTGCGTCCACAAGTACCCTTGCCCGACTAAGCATCCTGGAGGGAGGAGCCTGTGGTCTGGTCTCTTTATACTTCCAAGCAGTGAAATTCAGTACCAAGACCCTTGTCTTGTGTTGTCCTGAGTCAGCAGCAGAAGGATGTGTGAGGACCGGCCAGGCCACCTGGTCACTGAGGACCAACCAGGGCCTGGCGCCTGGGAGTCAGGCAGACGCAGGGCAGTGGGCAGCCATGCTGAGGAGGAAGGTGCTCAGGAACCTTCAGTCGTGGCCCAGTTAAGCTGGAATAGTTAAGCTGCAGGTGCTGAGGGGCTTTGACCCCATGGGTGGTAATGGTCATGACCAGACACTATGCCTGTGTCCCCCATTGCCCACAGAAAAGTGCCTTCAACAACCCAATCAACAGACACGGGCTCTTGATTGCTGCCCAGTCTCACCCACGCCAGTCCTCCAGACACCAGCTCACTGTTTGGCCAACATTTACGTTGTATAGGACTGTCTTCCAACAGACAGGTGTCATCTTCCCAAGCTTAGTTGCACCCACCTTCCTCTAGGATCATCACAGCAGGACTTGTTGACTGTCACGACCCCACAAGAAGGGAGGGGCTGGGAGAGTCCAGTCATACCTCCCTACCTACCAGTTAGCCCCAGCTACTCAAGGCCTGGTGTAGGAGCTAAGGGGATTTAGGCTGGGGAACCCTAGGAGAGAGAGTTCTCACCATTTTATGCCACTGTGGGAAAGCCGCCATCCATGCTTGGATGGAGACTTTCCAGTGTGGCCTTAGGAGGGCAACACCCACACTCCTTTAAGTAAACCCTCACCCATTTAAGTAAGCCCAATAAACTCACTGGTTCCTCAGACTACAGTTTGGTGAAATCATACCTGGGTTTGACATTGGGTCCGAGGGCGGAGGGCGGACATTACTTACCCCCCCCCGGGGAATTTTAGCTACACCTTACCCAGCCTCAACACCCCCTATCCTTGCTGCTGCCTTGGGCCAGCACAAGCCACACTGCAAGGCCCAAACCATGAGGGCATGAAGTCCAAGGGCAGGACCTCTACCTTGCCCTGGTGAGTCTCTCACAGCCCCATGTGGACACATGCTGGTGCGCAGGGCTCCCCATGTAGCTTGGCCACTCTTGGTGAGAGCTGCACTGTCAGTTCTCTCATACCCCTCTCCTTGGGATCCAGCTGCTCGGCAGAGGTGGCAAGGAGCTCACCTGAGGATGCTGTAGCCACCAGTTCCCTCACATCTGCCTCTCTCAACTCTGGCCCTACTCACCACCTCACAGCTGACTGCTCTCCTCTTTTCTCCTCTGATGCCCCTCTCTGACCTCAGCTACCATCGTGATAGTGGACCTTCCACGTCACGACTCTGGGACTCCAGAGGGACGAGCCCAGCATAGTGGACAAGGAGTCTACTGCATCTGACTGGGCTGTGTGTTCCAGACATAGCCAGGGTCCCTGGCCCTGCATTAGGAAACCTGGACATGGTTGGAGCAGGAAGGGGGATGAGACCAGAGCCAGAAACCCAAGGGCTTCAAACCCCACCAGGACAGGACAGCCAAAGGTACTCACATCATCCATACGCCAGCTGCAATGTTCAGAGGGTGGATGGTGATGCAGTTGAAGAGACCAGAGATGGCGCATGCTTGAAGGCAAACACACAGGCAGGAGTTGGAGGACGTGGCAGAGCTGCAAAAGCCTGCCTGGGCAGACACAAGAACTCCAGAGGATCCCTCCCGACACTCAGTGCTGGGGTTTCTATCAGCAACCCCTCATCATCTGAGACAGCCGAGGGGAAGGCTGGGAGATGCGCTGGTGAGCCCCACTTCCCTCAGCAAGCCTCTGAACCTCAAAGCTGGCCACTTTCACACCTAGGGGACTGTCAAGACATAGCCCCTTTCCACCCTAGGCTCAGATGAGCCAGCTCTTGGTCCCCAGCTGTATCAACATCCATGTCAAGGGGTCAGGCCAGTGTTCTGCCTTCAATGAGAACGTCAGCAAGGCTACCTATCACCATCCACAAGGCAGGCCACAAAAAGTCCTGACTCAGAAAACGAGACAGATTTCATTTTAGTTTTTGTTAGTTGCTTATTTGTGAGGTTTTTGTTATTTTTATTTTATGTGTATGAGTGTATTGCCTGCATGTATGTAAGTGCATCCATGACGTGGAGGTCAGAAGAGGGTGTCAGAATCCCTGGAACAGGAGTTACAGAGTTGTTAGCCGCCATGATGTAGGTGCTGGGAATCAAACCTGGGTCCTCTTAACTGCCAGGCCATGTCTCCAGCCCTGGTTTGTTTCTTTAATGTCTGCTAGGTTGGGGTTCTTTATTGGGTTGGTTTTTTCCTCTGAGACGGTTCTTTGCTCTGTAGCTCAAGCTGACCTCAAACTCACAATCCTGCTTCATCAGACTCCAAGGGCTGGGATTACAGGTGTGTGCCACCATGTGTGGCTGGGGCTTGGATTTGGCTCAGGACAAGGATGCTTCTGACTAAACACAGAACATGATGGGTACCGGGTAGGACCCTAGTGACAGCTCCACCTGTGAACACCAGCTGAGCCCGTCTTCTCTCCTACACACAAGCATACTGTGTCCCAACACTAAAACAGCAAGGCATCATGAGAGAAGTGTGTTCTCTTGTACCCCAGAACATAACTTCACTGGCTTCCCCATGTAGAGACCGACACCCTCCCTTCTGCACCTCAGGGATGGGGTCTGCCACACCCACCCACAGCCTGTAGCTGGCTTCACCAGGAAGTCCCTCATCAGGAACTCTGGGAGCCTCTGAGGACACATTCCTGTGAGCAGCCCAGCGTAGCAGCTCACAAGCCCCGGCTGTCCCCAGGGTGGGGTGGGGTGCTGGCACTCTGAGGCTGCAATTAGCAACCACTCATTAAAACTGCAGCAGCGCCTCTGCACCTGACCCTGCGCTGGGGCTGGAATTCCGCCGCTTTCCACTTTCCCATGTAACACTATGCAGATGGCAGGCGATGTGGGAGAACAACCTCCATGCTCCTGTGCCTCAAGGGCTCCTGTAACAAAGGACTCCAGGCGGCACTCATCCTCAACGTCCTCAGGTGCAAGCAGCTCCAGCAGCAGGGAGGCTGTCTACCTCTTCCCTGTAGCTGGGCCTGGTCTCGCCTGAGGGGCCTGCATTCCTGCCATCAGCATTCCATCTAGACACACATACACACGCACACCATCCTACACAGTCAGCCTTGGGTAGGACCAGGTCACAACCTGCAGTCCTTCCAACAACCAAGGGCTGGAAAATGTCCACTCATTGACACTAATGTTCCTGTCTCCACTTAAGGGGAATGTAACCGTGCAATCTTTGCTTTTTCCTAGCCTCTGGATGCACCTGGGATCCAGAATGAATGCCCCATGTCCTCCCACCCCAAGAGGGGGCAACCCTACACCAAAGTGATTGGCTAACAGTTCTTGTCAGAACCATGGTCATGGGTTTGGTTGTTTTTTTTGTTTTGTTTTGTTTTTGGGGGGTGGGAGGGGAGGGTGGCTTTTTGCTGTGTAGACGAAGCTGGTCTTGAACTCAGAAATCTGCTCACTTCTGCCTCACAGGTGCTGGCATTAAAGGCATGCACCACCAGGCCTGGCTGCTGTCTGAAGTGAATACCTTTTCCTTCCACCCTGCAGTACACCATTTGGTACTCACAATCTGATGCCCCACCCCCAAATCTGCAGAGGCCGGGGATAATTCAAGGTAGTGCTGCAGGTTTCTACTGAGGTTTCACCCATGGGTCAGTGGGGAGCCCTCCGGAAGGGGCACAGACTGGATGGGACTCCAAGGTCAATCTGGAAGTCAGCTGGGTCACTGATGAAGTCACCAACATGGAGAGAGGGCAGCAACTTGTAGGTCATGATCAGGTCTTCACCACTGACCCCTTTGTACGACCTGGAAACAGCTAACTGTACTTGAGAGGACTTGACCTCAACCTCACCAGATTCTGTCCTAAGCTGCTTTACCAGGGCAGCGCCTACCTAATCCCACCCTATCCAACCTCCAGCTGGATCACCTACACTGATGGGGCTCCACTGTGCCCTGGGTACCTTCAGACAGGAGAGCAGGCGGGTCTGCCCAGCCCAGACAGGACTCCTGTCCCTAGAGAGCACTGGGACCCTCAGACCTTCCTTTCCTGAGAACAGCACCCCACTCCCCCGGGGCTCCAGAAATTCACAGTGTAGGGGGCAGACAGGAAGGGAACAAGGAACAATACAACATTCAGTGAACTTGTATGGCATTTGGAAAGCCAGCAACAGATCTGCACTTCTTGGGGGACCTGCCTTCCTGTTCTGTCCCACTGAGGCTTGAGCTAGCAAAGCCTGCTTCCCTGGGAACCTGAGGTTAGGGGGTGAGCCTGGGTGGGTGTCGGGGGTAGGAAGGTCCATGAAGGGTCCATAGGCAGCAAGCCTAATGTAGGCAGCAGAGAGATGGAACCGAGTCGGGCAGGACAATGAGAACCCAGAAGACAGGCTGCCTCCCTGCCCCACTGCCCGGCCACCCTCAGGGGGTCATCTGTCTACCCACTGCCCGGCCACCCGCAGGGGGTCATCTGTCCTCCCACTGCCCGGCCACCCGCAGGGGGTCATCTGTCTACCCACTGTCCGGCCACCCTCAGGGGGTCATCTGTCCTCCCACTGCCCGGCCACCCTCAGGGGGTCATCTGTCCGCCCACTGCCCGGCCACCCTCAGGGGGTCATCTGTCCCCTGGCACCGCCTGACCCTCAGTCAACTTCCCAGCCTGGGCTTCCTGCCACGAGTGTAACCAGACCTGCCCCACTTATGACCAAGCTTGGTCCAAAGGTCGGGGCCTCAGCAGTGCCACCCTCGCGCAGGTGAGCATCACCGGGCCGGCGCGGTCGGGAGCCATGGCACTGCCCGGCCACCCTCAGGGGGTCATCTGTCCCCTGGCACCGCCTGACCCTCAGTCAACTTCCCAGCCTGGGCTTCCTGCCACGAGTGTACCCAGACCTGCCCCACTTATGACCAAGCTTGGTCCAAAGGTCGGGGCCTCAGCAGTGCCACCCTCGCGCAGGTGAGCATCACCGGGCCGGCGCGGTCGGGAGCCATGGCACCCCGAGGCAGCCCCCGCCCCGCCGGTACTCACACACGGCCCCCAGCACGCCCGCCAGGCGGCACAGCCAGCGGTACCACCACGTCATGCCCTCCTCCTGCGCCGCCGGCGCGGACCCCGCGGCCGCCCCCGCCGCGCCCGGACTGCTCATGCCGCTGGGGCGCCGGGCTCCGCGCAGCCCCGGGCGCGCACAAAGGGACGTGTCCGCCCGCGCGCGGCCTTGTGGGAGGCTGTGATTAGCATAGGGGGCGGGCCCGCAGGACGCAGCCCGGGGCTGGAGACGTGTGTTAATTAGCATAGGGGGCGGGGAGGGGGCGGGGCTTCGCGGGGCCCGGCAGGTGCTCTCCCAGGCAGGCTTGCCTTTCCTCCTCGCAGGCAGAGGTGGCCCACCTGGAGGTGGCCAGGAGGTGGCCAGGGCCTTGCCTAGGCCAGGGTAAGCTGAGCACTGTCCAGGGAGTCCGCGCCTGGCCGTAGGATGGGCTTTCCAGCTAGGCTGGGTTGGTATTGGAAGGAAAATACCAGTCCGGTTTCCTGTGTCCTTTATTAAGTAATGGAGGGGCTGGGATTGCTTCTTCACTGTCCCCCAGAGCTCCTGACATGGGAAGAGACCCTAAAATGGGCAGCGTTGGACCCTCTGCGAGTGAAGTCCCTTCCTTTCCTGTCCAGAAAGCTAGGGCAGGACCAGGCCGGCGTCCTCTTCCAGTGTCTTCGGTGGAAGGGTCCAGGACTGGCCCTGTAGGTTCGCCGGTGCCTCCAGGAAGCCGGGACTAAACTCCACCTCAGCCTCGCTGCCATCCGACTCCCAGTAGAGTGCCGCTGCCCTCGAAATGCTGTGGTCCTCAGGCTGTGGATATCCCGGATCTGGGGTAAGGGGGCAAACACAAGAACAGGCCTGAGTGGCAGTTATCTAGAATTCACAGATGCCTGGATGTGCTGGTTAGTTTTTATCAACTTGACACAAAGTAGTCACTTGGGAAGAAGGAGCCTCAACTGGAGAGTTTCTCAGATCAGACTGGCCTATGGCTGTGTCTGTAAGGCATGTTCTTTTCTTTTTTAAAATATTATTTATTATTTTTATTTTATGTGTATGACTATATTGCCTGCACGTATGTAGGTGCATGTCATGAAGTGCCCGAAGAAGTCAGAAGAGGGTCTCCGATTCCCTCTGGAAGTAGAGTTACAGACAGTTGTCAGCCGCCATGTGGGTGCTGGGAATTGAACCCAGGTCCTCTACAAGAGCAACCTCTGCAGGAGCAGACAGTGTTCTTAACCAAGGAGCATCAGCCCTGTAAGGGCATTTTCTTAATTGCTAATTTAAGTGGGAGGGCCCAGCCCATTGCAGGCAGTGCCATCCCTGGGCAGGTAGCTGAGCAAGCCAGGGGAGCAAGCCAGTGAGCAGCACTCCTCCATGGTCTCTGCTTCAGCTCCTGCCCTGACTTCCCTCAATGAACTGTAACGTGGAAGTGTATGCCTGCCCCCACGTTGCTTTTGGTCATAGTGCTTATCACAGCAACCAGAAGCAAACTACAGCACCTGTATATACACCGTGTGTTCATTCAGAATCTCATTTGATCCTCACAGGACCTTCCATGAGGAACACTCTGTTCTAACCAGGAAACTGAAACTCACGGACATTGCACTCCGTCCCCGGACACACTCCGGGTGCCAGAGCTGGGATCCTGCTCAACCTGATTCTGAGGCCAGGCTGCTCTGGCTGAGCTGCTGCTGTGCAGAAAACATGAGCCCTCAACTCCACCTGTGTTCTTCTGCAAAGAACACCAGACTTGTCTGTGACGACTCCACCCTGGGTTAACAGGCAGTCTACCGAGACAAGGTCTTTCTTCTTCCACCTTGCAGGTAGCACAATCAACATCTGCTGGCTATTGAGTGGAGGAAACCCACCTTCCCATTCTTTCAAATGATTCTGAGGGTTTTTAGTCAGAAGGAAACTGATGAGGTCCCCTAAACCCAGCACCCTTTCCTCCTCCTTATAGACATCTGTCCAGAATCATCAAAAAAGTCAACCCACTTCTGTCCCCATGCTGGTGGCCTCACCAAGACATAGCTGGCATTGGTCCCCTCACTTGCAGTGCCCATGTCAGTGACCAGGGCATGGATGGCAATGCGGGCTGTGGGGCCACAATGATGAAGACACAGCAGCTCCCTGCATCCCTCCTGTCTGGGCTTTGTGAGGGACTCATGATTTGACCCCGGGGTCCAAAGACGTGCCTGTCACATGCTGCAGGTGAGAACAACATAGACTGGGTATGGGCCACCCCAGGGACATAGGTGCCTGGGGAGATCGCTGACACCAGGGCAGCTCACAGCGGAGGGGTCAAGATCAGAGGTGGTCAAGATCAGACTCCACCTCTGCCACTGAAACTTCACTTTTATCACATCCTAGTAAAGTGACTTTAGGCAAGATCTGAAAGGGTACCAGCAAGATGGCTCAGCAGGTGAACCTGAACTTGATCCCTGGGAATATGGTAGGAGAGAACCAGGCAAGTTGTCCTCTGACCATGTTTCTCTCTCTCTCTCTCTCTCTCTCTCTCTCTCTCTTTTTTTCTCTCTTTCTCCTTCTCTCCCC